GCATCTGACAAAATTCAAAGACCATTTTTCATTAAAACTCTCTGCAAACTATTTACGACTAGAAGGGAACTCCCTCACTCTGATTTTTAAAATCTACGAAGGCCAGGCCTAGTGGCTCCATGCCTGTAATCCCAACACTTTGGAAGGCCAAGGCAGGTGGATCGCTTGAGCCCAGCAATTCATGATCAGCCTAGACAACAGGGAAAAACCCCATCTCTACAAAAAATACAAAAATTAGCCAGGCTTGGTGGTGTGTGCCTGTAGCCAGCTACTCAGGAGGCTAATGTGGGAGGATCTTGTGACCCTGACAGGTTGAGGCTGCAACAAGCCATGACTGTGCCACTGCACTCCAGCCTGGGTGACAGAGCAAGACCCTGGCTCAAACAAAACCAAAAACAAAAACAACTATGAAAAACCTACAGCTAAGATCATCCTTAATTATGAAGTACTGAATGCTTCTCCCCTAAAATCAGAGACAAAGCAAGGATGTCCACTCTAATCCTTTGTATTCAACATATTCTAGCAAGTGAAAAAAAAGCAAGAAAAACAAAGGCATCCAGATATCCAGTAAAACTGTCCTCATTTATAGATGACATGAACATCTATGTAAAGAAACTAAGGAGTCTATTTAAAAACTACCAAAACTAAGATGTAAATTTAACAATATGGCAGGATACAAGATCAATATACAAAAATCAATGGAATATTATGAATGCTAGAAACAAAATTTAGAAAGGAAATTTTATTAAAGTGCTGTTTATAATTGCATAAAGATAAAATACTTAGAGATTGAGGAAAAAATTTTAAAAGATCTGTATATATTCTAAAAACAGTGAAACATTGCTGAGAGAAATTCAAGACGACCTAAATAAATGGGAAATAAAATAGATTGTGTTCAAGACTGGAACACTCAAATTTGTTAAGTTATCAATTCCCCTTAAATTGATTTATAGATTCAACCCAATCCAAATAAAAATCTGAGCAGGATTTCTTTTTTGAAACATTGAAAATTTGATCTCTAAAACTCACATGAAAATGCAAAGGAACTAGAATAGCCAAACAACTTTTAAAACGAAGACCAAAGTTAGAGGACTAACAGGACTTAACTTCAAAACTTATAAAGCTACAGTCATCAAGACAACAACTGTAAAAGAATAGAAATGCAGCGATAGTACACTATGTGATAGTGCTGTGAATATTATTTCTGTGCTCATGATATTGTAAATAAGTGTTAGAGGATGTAAAAATGGCAGTTTTGGATGAGGCCCCAGACTGTTTTGTTTTGTTTTTTTTTTTTTTTAACAGATGTGCAGAAGACAACTTATGCAGGATTTGGAAACAAATGAAAACAGAAGAGATGAGGGAAACTAGTTTTATGACTTTTAATCCCAGCCTACATCTATGGCATAAATAGGTCAGAAGATGGAGATTAAAAAGGATTTTTAGAAAAATGTTTGGAGAGCATGTGGAGGAGGCAGGATGTGCTGTGATCTTTCCATTTCATGCCAAATCAAGAGAGAAGGCCTCAGAAAGCTTAAGATATATTCTCTGGGGACTTAACAGAAAGGGTAGATGGGGAGAGAGAAGCAGCCAAATACAACCTCTTCCCTGACACCAATGTTCCCATTGCAACAGGCCAGAGCTTGGGGAGGAGTGAAAGCCAAGCATTAAATCAAGATTATAGCTTAGACTATGACCTGGGTCTTAGCATTCTGACTACTGCACAAGCCTGCACTTACACACTCAAGTGACTAGAGAACTATGTGACCCAAGAGTAGTCAGAAAAGTCATGGAGCCTGCTAATATTTTCATCCATAAGTAGGCAATTTAAAATAACAGCAGGGAAAAAAGGGGAGAAGGACATTTTAAGAGTCCCATATGTTGGAAGTGATGGTTACACAATGAATATTTAACAAAAATATTGATTATAAGTAAATTGGAAGGGTGAAGGGAGGGAGAAGTATATGGAAGACCAAGGGTTAGGAAGTTAAGCCCTTACTTTCAAAATCAAGAAATCAATACATTTATCCAAAACTGAAAAATCAAGAAATAGTAAAAAACAAGCACCATGAAGTTAAGTACCAAATAAATACGTAAAAGAGTTGAAAGTGTTTCCTCTGAGAGCAGAAAATAAGCACTGGGAGAGGAGCTGAAGGGGAAACTGCCATTTCTCACCCCCAAAAAAAGCTTGCATCATGTTCTTTTAAACTATATACACATATACTCTAATAATTCTTAGTTTTAATAATGAGAAAATTCATGGGTCCTGCCCATGTTTTCATACAGAGATGGAGGTAACTACGTTTGCCTTTTTAAAACCACATATACATATTACCATTTTCTTTTTAAACTACAGATACTTATTACTCTAACAATTTTTGTTTTTAAATGTAAAAAAAAAAAAAAACCTTTAAGGATGGCAATAGGATTGGAAGAAAATTCAGACTGTACAGCTTATATGAGCAATGTGTGTTTGAAAGGGCAACTGGACATCCATAGGCAAAATAAATTAATCTCAACTTAAGTCTCACATTTATACAAAAATTAACTCAAAGTGGATCATGAACTTAAGAAAAAATACAGGAGAGGCCAAGCACAGTAGCTCATGCCTGTAATCCCAGCATTTTGGGAGGCCAAGGCAGCCAGATCATTTGATGTCAGGAGTTTGAGACCAGCCTGGCCAAAATGGAGAAACTATCTCTATTAAAAATACAAAAATTCGCCAGGTGTTGTGGTGTGCATCTATAGTCCCAGCTACTCAGGAGACTGAGGCAGGAGAATCGCTTGAACCCAGGAGGCCAAGGTTGCAGTGAGCAGATTGCACCACTCTACTCCAGCCTGGGCTATAAAAAGAGAGTCTGTCATAAGTGAATGAATGAATAAAAATCTTTAGGATTTAGGGCTAGGCAAAGAATTCCTAGACGTCACACAATCTATTAAAGTAAAAATGAATACACTGGACTTCATAAGAATTAAAAATTTTGATCTGTGAAAGACCTTGTTAAGAGGATAAAAAGATAAGCTACAGAGAGAATATATTTACAAATCACATAGATGTGAAAGAACTTGTATTTAGAATAAATCAAGAATTCTTAAGACTCAATGGTAAAAACCTAAACAATCCAATTAGAAAATGGACAAAAGACGTAAAGAAACATTTCACGAAAGAGGATACACAGATGGCAAATAAACACATGAAAAGATATTCAACATCATTAGTCAGTAAGGAAAAGCAAATTACACCCACAGTAAGATTCGCTACACACCTATCAAAGTGGCTAAAATAAAAAATAGTGACACCACCAAATCCTAGCAGGGATGTGCAGAACCTGAATCACTAATACGTGCTGGTGGGAATGTGAAACAGTAGCACAACTCTGAAAGATAGTTTGGGAGTTTCTTTCCATTTACAAAAATAAATCCTTATAATAAAGATCTAAATATTAAGAAAAGATTATTCAAAGTAGTAGAAAACTGTAAAAGAATAACTTTGGGAATAGAGAGACTTTTCAGGGCACAAAATGTAAAAGTCGTAAGAAAAAGATAGATACATTTGACCGCATCAAAATAAAAGCTTCTGTGTACTCAAAGCAAAACTGAACAAAGCAAACAATAGCAAAAGCAACAAAGAAACAACGTACTCCATAAGCAAACGTTTAAAGATAAATGACAAACTAGGAAAAAAATTATTAATATTCTCATATGGAAAGAACTAGAAAACAATAAGACAAAGCAAACTACCCCCCCAAAAAACACAAATAAATACATAAACAGACAATTCTGACACAAGGAAATACAAATTAAAATACAGAAAAGAAAGTTCACCCTCACTAAGAATCATGGAAATGCACATTAAGACTGTATACCACTTTTTTCCCATGAGTGCTTGGCAGAAATGGAAGTCTATTGGCATAGGTGTGGGCAAGCAGGTGTTCTTAACAGTAGTGTAGTCAGCACAGTGGATAAAGGACAGTCACTGTAGCAACTAATAGGAAACAACCTTAATGTCCAGCAATAGGGAAATGGTATAATGGAAAAGTATGAAGCTGTTAAAAACAGTGGGATAGATCTATATACATGATATGGAAACAACTCCAAGAAATTGATACATTTTTAAAAAACAAACTGCAAAACAATATGCCTAGTATGATCTTGCATTTAAAAAACAGAAAAAAGGCTAGCTCATGCCTGTAATCCCAGCACTTGAGAAGGCTGATGTGGAAGGATTGCTTGAGCCCAGGAGTTGCAGACCAGCCTGGGCAACAAAGTGATACCTTGTATCTACAAATAATTAAAAAATTAGCCTGGCATGGTCACATGCACCTGTAGTTCCAGCTACAGGGGAGGCTGAGGCAGGAGGACTGCTTGAGGCCAGGAGGTCAAGGCTGCACTGAGCCATGTTCGTGCCATTGCACTACAGCCTGGGTGACAGAGCAAGGCCTTGTCTCAAAAAAGAAAAAAAATAAAAAGCAGAAAAAAATCTAAAACACTGTGTTTATGTGTATATCTATGTACATTAATAGATATGATAACAGGCCAAATTTTTAACAGTGGCTACATCTAGGAAGGGAACTGGGATGGAGTGGGTGATCACAAGTATAGAATGATTTATACCATTAAATTTTTTTATTTTACTAAAAAACATATTTGTGTTACTTGTTTAATAAAAAAAAAAATGATGCAGCACTTAGTATCTAGCCAGCAATTGCTCAAAAATGCTAATTTCAACTTAAAGAAAATATTTTCAAAGAGTTAAAAAATTAAATATAAAGGATGATGTAGCAATAATGCTTCTATGGCCTGGTTCTAAATGCTACATTATACAAGTGATAGAATTCTTCCCCAGGGAACAGGAAAAGGGGGCACTTTTAGGAGGAAAGGGGATTTACCAAACAACCAAAGAAAGACATCCAGAGTCTGTGTGCATTCACTGACCCAGGAACAAACAGTAAATTAGTGTTTCTAGAAGTGCTTTACTAAAGGCACACTTAGCAACTTACCTGTCGTCTTTGCTACAGAGGTGGTGGAAACACCATTCAGCTCACTAGAACTCCTTTTCACGGGCCTTGGCTTGTATTCTCGTCTGGGGACACTGGATGCAGCTGATATTCTGTAACACACATCATAATATGAGCCAGACATCTAATGTTGAAAGCTTTCCAAACACACCTTCTCTCTGCCTTGATGAGCATAGGAACTTAAGTTACAGCCAGTGGTCACAAAGGGGACAATTTTTACGCATTGACTCTTGAGTAGACCAAAGTTGTGGAGGTGTTACCACAAATATAGTTTGTCAACTCTCTATTTGAGCTTGTGAGTGAAATTCATCTTGAAGAAGACTAATTGGGCCAGCCATGGTGGCTCATTCCTATAATCCCAGCACTCTGGGAAGCTAAGGTGGGCAGATCACCCGAGGTCAGGAGTTCGACACCAACCTGGCCAACATGGTGAAATCTCATCTCTACTAGAAATACAAAAATCAGTCAGGTATGGTGGCAGGCACCTGTAATCCCAACTACTTGGGAGGCTGAGGCAGGAGAATCACTTGAACCTGGGAGATGGAGGTTGCAGTGAGCCGAGATTGCACTACTGCACTCCAGCCTGGTCAACAGAGTGAGACTCCATCTCAAAAAAAAAAAAAAAAAAAAAAAAAAAGACTAATTGTCTTCATCAAGTCTCTGAGGCATCCATCAAGTGCCTGGGACGTTGTCAGCAACCAGTGGTGAGAGCTGCCTTTTCCCTCACTGTGCTCTTATAGATTATGATAGCGTGATGAAAATACACTCCTGTGAGTAACAGGTGAACTACCTGCCTGCAGAAGTGGACACTTCAGGATCTGAACACAGTTTTGTCTTCCCTATGTAACTATATCATTGATTTAAGTAAAAATTCCTCCAAATTTATGCATTACCATAATCATGTATAAAACAATTTTCTATTATCAAACCTGGTTTTAAAAAATAGGGTATTTTTAACCCGATATTTTAATAAATAGAGTTGCCATGCATACTATATATATTACTAATTTTCAGAAAAGTATAGACTACACCTATGATCAAAGTCACAAGGAAAACAGAAATCTTTCTTTAATTGTTCAGAAGATACTTCTGAATCTTTCAATACCTGTCAATATTATGAACATAGCCTGAAATTCATACTGGTAAAGTGAAAATATATCTTTTTCTTAACAGATATTTACGTATTTTCCATATGTCATCTCACTTTTTTCCATAGCTCTAGATGTTTTCCATCCCTTTGTGAATGGGGAGCTAAACCCTCATCAAATTAGCAGTGAAGCCAGGATAGTTTTGGAGGGGTTGATGTCCAAGGATGGGGAGCAACTTGGTTAGCTGTCCTAAACACAGGTTACAATAAAAGGGATTTAATAAAAATAAAAAAGAGAAAAGCTGCCAGATCCCTCTTCCCAGTGCTCTCCTATTGGCCAAAGCCAGTACTTATTATCTCAGTCCCATCCATGCCCAAACATGAAAGCCAGTGAAAGAAAATTCAAAACAGAATGAGGCAGGGGAAGGAGGAGATGGAGAGACAGAGAGACAGACACACAGACAGGGAGACGGATGGATTTCAGTAGATGTTACCTCCATAGTCCTTGGCTGGTAAGAAACATGGAGGCGCTTACCGCATCTGTAGCTTGCTCTGCAGCTCCTGTAGAATCTCTGTGGACTGTTTGTGATAGTCTAATGCTGCCTCTATGAACACGGCCAACTGGCTGACTTGTTCTACCTGCAGCAGAAGTGGAAAATTACTCCATGGAGGCCAGAGTCTGTATAACATCCAGAGAGAGAGGAGACCAGCCACAAAGACCCAGCTTGGCAGGGAAGGCCAGCGTCTGCCTCGGCTCTGGTCCATTTCATTTAATTTCATCTAGGAGCTCTGTACAGTAATCACACAGGTCATGGTATGGAGCTATACATGCTGGAAAAACACGTTCAAATTATTTGTGATTTTGAATTTGATTTAACTCAATAAAAATGCCTGATTTTCCAATTAGATGATGACTTTTCTCAGATTTTCTATGCTATAAAGTTCATGGATCTGAAAACAGAGATATAAAGTCCTTCCAGTTATAAATGAAGCCAACCTTTAGCAAAGGAACTGCCTACTTAGTGAAGTGTCTCTACCTGTACTTTCTAGCTAAGCCAAATCAAGATATTAAGTAAATTAAACAGATAAGAAAGGGGGCGGGGAGCAACGTGTGCTCCTGGGCCAAGACTTTCCTGTCCCCTAGATGCTTTTTGTTGCTATCCACTCATCATAATTTCTCCAAAACATAGAGCTAAAGGGAATGAACCGTAAAGATACTGGCATCTCTGCTTCCCACAAATCAAGGCATTCATGAAATTAGTGACCAATTTACAATGAATTTTTTTAAGCTGTGTGTTATAAGAAAAACCTGTACGATATGGGGCTGTATAATTTGAGGAAGAGCAAACCAAGGCAGGCCTGAGAGCTTTCCTGAGCCCCTACATGACCGAGGGGCTGCTACAGGAAAGAGATTAAGCTTATTTCTGGAAGCCCCAGAGGCAAGCCTCAGGGCTGAAGTGACAGGTCTCCCCCAGCATGAATCCAATCAACTCCAGAGCTGGACAGAGACACAAAATCAATCCTACCCTTCCCAGGCTTCCCCAACGCCTATGCTTCATTTCCACACTTCATTTTTACTCAGCTTTAGAGCAAAGTCTGCTTGCTTATTCATTTATAGTCTCACCCTGCCTAACCAACCACGGCCTTGTCAGCCTTCAAAGATCCAAGCTACTTTCATTTGTAGTTGCAAATCATTCCTTAGTTGTCTGTACTTAAATTTTTCTTACCCACTTATACTATTTTAAACACAGCTCAATATGCATGTAAGATATACATGGAACTCCATGTGTGCCAAGCTGTGATCAGCATCTGAACAATGAAATCCTGTCGGGTTTCATTTACTTTACCAAGCTCTGTGGCTGGAAAAGCAACAAGCCTAGCCTTAAATTTCCAAAAACCCAATAAACAAAACAAAGACAGCCTGGCCCCTACCAAATCCTGAGGACTTCTTAAATTTCACCTTTGGCTTTTACACATACTTTTAAGTAAGTCCAGCGCCCTGGCCTAGCACAATCACAGTAGAATTTGCTATAGAAATAATTTTTCTTCCTTACAGCGCTAGAGTGGTGTGCTTGGTAAAATCTATGACACGCATCTCTGCCTTTAGTAAAATTTATTTGTCCTACCTTATAACCCACTTTTTAAAATGCCTATGTTTTATAATTTTTAAAGAAAGAGTGAAAGCTAAATGAATATTTCTTGAAACATATTCCAGATTGGGGAACGAGAAGGGGCTGAGGGGGATTACAGCTATCCTCTCTGCTGTGGCTAAAACACAAACCGATGTAATCTAGAGATGCATTTGTAACTGCTCATTGGGTGGCTGACTTTGGGAAGGAAATGAATCCTGAAAACCCTTAAACCTTGGGAGACAACAGCAGCACTGCCCAATGCCTGCACCTAGTATGTGTTCAGGACAAGTCCTTAAGGGGTGGCTACTAGGCTGTAAGTCTGTCTTGTTGACAGTGGAAACCAGGCCACGAGTAGATCATTTTCCTCTTGATTCCAGAAAATGTAAAGCTTCCAGCTGTCCCCCAGGTGCTGAGCATTGAGCTGTGTGCCGGGGACCATGGGGACCAACATAGTTGGACTCAGCCTCCCAAACCACAACTAGAAATAAATACCTGGACAGGCAGAACCAAGATAAAGCAAGAAACTCAGGCCTAGCAAGAGCCAAAACCTGACCAGAAAGTAAACATTTCTTCCACTGTTGGAATTTTAACAGTCTATCTGTTGAATCAAAGAATGTCACCTGGGATAGAGAGAAAGGCTTAATTCCACTTCTGGGTTGGCCTGGGCTGCCACTTTGCTGGTGCCATCCTGAGAGCAAAGTGTGACCTCACCCATGAAAATGTTCATATGATATATGCCAAGGAACTGGATTTCCAGAGAATCCACTCCCTTTTCTGAGAGTGAAGCACACTAGCTACCTCAGATGGACTCACACTCAGCTGATGCTTGAAGTAAGAAACTCATCATGCAAGCAGACTTCCATGTAGGTTAGAGGTCAAGGAGGCACTTGGCCTTGGTGGATGACAAATGCATGGAGTGAGGGCTGTGAAGCTACCTGGGAGAGTCAGGGGGCCTGAGGTAGACAGAATCACCGAGCCTGCAAAGATGTCCAAGTCTTAATTCCCCAAACCTGCAAATACATTATTTTACATAGCAAAAGGGACTTTGCAGTTATAATTAAGTATCTTAAAATGAGATTATTTTGGAATGTCTGAACGGCTCAACGTAATCACAAGGTCCTTTAAGAGGGAGACAGGAGTGCCAACATCAGACAAGATGTGGCAATGGCAACAGAGCTCAGAATCTGTGAAGATGCTATGCCGCTGGCTATGAAGAGGGAGGAAGCGAAGAATGAGCCAAGAAATGCAGGTGGCCTGTAGAAGCTGGAAAAGGCAAAGCAGCAGCTTCTTCCTCTGGAGCCTCCAGTACAAACGTGGCCCTGCCCGTACCTTCATTTTAGGACTCTAGGCTGGAAGACAATAGATGTGTGTTGCTTTAAGCTACACTGTTTGTGGTCATTTGTTATGGCTCCAATAGGAAACTGATACAGAGCTGCTTTAGCCCATCCTCTAACTATGCAAAAACCTAACAGTGAGATTAGTGCTGGCCAGGGTCCCCCATTCATGGTGACGGGAGCTGTTGCCTGGAGACACATAGGAACCAAGCTCATGGGGCAATGGGCCCATGTGGCTGGGCCTGGGGACTTCATTGCTGACTTGGCTGTACCCCAGGGCTCCTCACTCTCTTCTGAGGGGTAACACCAAAACAGGAATGAACTCAATTTCTCTCCCATGACAGACTGCGCACAATGCACAATCCACAAGTGACATATGTGTGTTACCTGTGGATGCATTTCATTCCAAACCTCTCTTTAGCTGAAAACTAACGGAAGATTAGCAGCATATGAGGCCATGGGAGTACCTTGATCCTGGGGATGGAAACAGAGAATAGAAGTCCCCAACTATAGTGGACTAAGGCTACTAGAAGTTTCTAAGAGTTGTAGAAACCCCATGGACTCTTGCATAAGACCTGAGCCATTAGCCCGGCCTTGTGGGCCAACTGCAAAGGACTCAGGCTGTACTCAAAGGAAGAATGGCTCAAAGGACTGCATATTTTAACAAAGGCTGTCTTAGGTCAGCTCTTCAAGAGGACTGTGGAAACGGGTAGCTGAGAAGCAGGGCTGGAAACCTTCCTCCTCTGACCCTCTAGCAATCACTTACCAGGGGACTTGGTGAGCAGCTGGGTGAGTAAGCAGAGAGTGGCACACCCTGAAGCCCATGGCGAGGACAGGGAGAGAACTGGGATGTGAGCAGCTGACGCCTGTCCAGACCTGGGGTCTGCAAGTGTGTTTGGCATGCAACACACTTGCATTTCGAAGAAATGTACATCTTCGAAAGATGGCAAGCCATTCTCTTTCACAACTGAAAAGGTGCATTTCCAATAGAGGTCACCTTCAATTAACATTGTGATAATACCAGTGATTTCTCGCTCTATCATATCAAAGACCTCCACGCTTTTTGGATTCCTTAGAGAAGCTATGGAAAGTTTCTCATGAATTTTGCAGTCTGGTCATAAACAGATGCCTCTTCCAATGGGGCAAAAGCCTTTATTCAGAGTTTCTGAGAAAGTTTGAGTAAGGCAATTAAATTAATAACATGAATAATAATCCCTTACATTTTCATTCTCTACTTTATCCTTCTAAAGAATTTCTCAAATGCAGTTGCTAATTTGCCTGATACCAGTCAGGTGACATGATTTTCCCAGAGGCTTAGCAGAAGCAAAACCAGAAACAGAATTCAGGTATTTCGCTCCGTGCTGGGTATGCTTTCCACGAGTTAGTATTTCCAAATGCGTCTTATTCCCCATATTACAGTCCCTGAAACATTAGTAATAACACAATAATGTGACGGAATTCTGTGGTCAAATACATTTGGTAAACTGCCAACTGTATTTTCTCTTAGGAACTGCTTAGAGATTAATCTTTCATAGTATCAAATAAAGACTCTGAAAAGTCTTGTGATAAAGAAAACTCTGTTTCATTTTATTTAACCCAGGGTATCCCAAACTTATTTGACCACAGAGACATTATTAATGCAAAACACACTAACATCCCATGGAATGGATTTTGGAAAATGCTACTCTAGACCAAGGGAAAGACCCCAGGAATCCGCAATCTAGTCATTCCACTGGTCTTGGGAACCCATGGATGGAGGGAGGATCCCATAGGTGGGGAATGTATCTCAAGAGAGCCAGTATTGCAGGTATCTGGGCTCACTGGACTGAAGTAGGCATCTCTATGGAACATCTCTGATTTCTGCTAATGTCAAAGACCTACATTTGCTAATAGTAAGTTGTGAGGAATAAACTCTGCAAAGACAGAAGAGGGGGCAGTGTGTTAACAAGCCTATGGGTGATACACTGTTCCCGAGAAATGACAATGAAGGCTGGTAACCAGTCTGCTGACTTTCCCACACTTTTCTGCAAGAGGAGGGCTGCCCTGGGTACCTCTCAGAACCCTGCCAGGCCCAGCCTGGCCTGGCAAGAAATCAGTCATGGGACTGCCCCTCTTGGATCCCTGGAAAGTTGGAGAACCAAAAGACCTCCTGGCTTGCATCACTGTCTATGGAATAACAACACTGCTCAGCCTCAGACAAGATGTGAAGAGATGCTCAGTGTCTCCATTCCAGCTCCCACTCACAAGACAACCTAAGGCTACAGTGTGGGGCCAAAGCAGACTCTTCTTCGTTCTCCCATTCCCAGTTCTGCCAAAAATAGATGAGAAAATAGATACAACTTCTACTCAGGAATGTTAGAGTGAGCACGTCATGTTTCTCTACCTCCCCTTCCTATGGTGATCTATCTAACTGATGAGATTGTGGGGCCGGCACCCACCTGGCCCTAATAACCAGGGTGTCTGGACACTGCGATGAAAGGCAGTAGGGACCTGGCTCTGGGCTCTGGATTTCTCAAGAAAGTGGGTTTGTGAAGTGGCCACAAGATCATGTGTCATCCGGCTTCACAGTCCTGCACCAACTCTCCCTGCAGGAGCTCAGGCCTTGTGGGTCAACTGCGAAGATCCAAGGTCTAGACTTGAGGCCAGGAATAGCTCATTGCACTTCTATCGTGGGCCCAGGCCCAAGCTGCCCCTTCCAACATGGTTTCCTAGAGAGCCCTGCTCTCTGGGCAAGGGGCTGGCGTGTGATCCTGTGTGGCTCCCCTCGTTTGTTTCTCTGCTGGGAGAATGCAGAGGTGAGGCCAGATGAATGATCACACCCTGGAAACCCCTGCAAATACTTCCCAGAAAACCCTGGGAAGTATTGCGTCTGGAGACCCAGGAGAGACCAAGTCTGTGAATCCAGTCAGGGTTCTCCTCACATCAGTCAGAGCTTTGGCAAACAATTTCTTCTGAGGCATTCCCTGGTGAAGCTTTTAGTGTGTCTTAGCCAGGACGACAAGACATGAGGGCTGGAGGAGGCACCAGCTCTCCCCCAGAGTGAGATTTTGGTCTCTGAATTGTCAGTGCCAGGCAGAAATGGGCAGGTAGCACCAGAACACCAAGCACACCCATCGCAGAGGGGTTCCCGTCATTCACCTTTCTCTGTTTATTCGCTTTCTCTTTGGAGCAAATGCTTCTAAGTCCTCTCTCCAGCCCCTCCCTCATTCTCCTCCCGTAGATGAGGCTGGGGGTGCTCCCAAGTTAGTAGGATGGATTGCTCTCCTGCAGTCACTGGCTTTGCAGGGCTGGGGCCGGCAAGGCTCTCCCTCACCCAGTTTCAGCATCTCAGGCTGTGTCTGGGTGGTGAGGCAGGCTGGCTCTCCACTAGAGCTGGCTGTCATCCACCAAAGGAGCAAGGAGGAGAAAGTGCCATCAGGACTTTAGGTCCAGGCCATGTCCTTCAGCACAGTGGACCAGAAGGTCTGTATTTTACAATTTTCAGGTGTCCTCATCAGTTAAGGAGCTGTCCCTTGATTCCAATCTGGCTTTTGTGTCACTTCCTCCATTGGTCAGAACCCAAAGGGTTCTGACATCCCCAAACTTCCCACCACAGTAACAGAAGCATGTCCCACTTGTGTCTGGAGGAAGCAGAAGGGCCTCCGCTGCCTGCCACCAGGCTTTCCTTGCAGCCACTCATTTGACAGTTGTGTACCTTGTCTCCAGCGGGTACCAGATCAGGTGGAAGCACCATCCAATCCATCAGGCAGCAGCAGCCGAAGACCCACTGTGTTTGACGTGGCAATTAGAACAGGTCCCAGCCATCTTTAGTTTCTGCCAGGAAATCCAGCTCTCCCCAGCTATCCTGAAGCACAGCTTGTCAAGCAGGGCTTCCCCACCAGAAAAGGAAGCAACATGGCAACAAGAGGTTGAGTGACCACGGTTGGACATGCAGGTGGTGACTCAGAGGGAGCAGGAACCAGAGTCCCATGGGCTGCAGGACCACCAGCTCTGGCCTGGTTGTTGGAGATGGGTGAAACACAGGGCCAAGGGTTCGAGGTATGCCCCATCCACCATGTATTGGCATTTTTTCTTTCTCCAAACAAATCACATTCTCTGTTTGTCCCCAAGCACCAGGCAATATCAGCATTGGCATGTCAGGTCCAAGGAGTGACCCGAAGGAGATTTTTCTCTACCTTGCCTGGTCAACAGGAGAGGATGTTCAGACCACCTGGCTATGGCACAGACACACTGACATGGAAAAGGATGAGGTGCTGCCCTATGATCTAACTGCTGTTGATCCCAAGCAGAGTGAAGGTGGGCTTCTGAAGCCTACATAATTATTTCTGAGTCTCCTCAGCTATTAACCTGGGTAGGAGAAAAGGTAAACACAAGTGTACCATGATAGGGACCATCAACAGCACCCCCTTAGCCTCATTATCATGGGGCAGCAGTGAATGGTAGCTCTTGTCACTGCCATCATCACCACCACTGTCTTTATCACTATCACCACCATTACTGCAAGAACCAGCAGCCACAGCACACCTAGTAGCCACTGCAGCTACACACAGCAGGAGAGAGGGGGCAGGGAGGAAGGGAACAGCCTAGTTCCCAGGCAGCCTGGGTAGCCCCTCTCTGTTTCGTAACACTGGTCTCCCCCCACCTCAATAGCAGAAGTAGAAGCTAGAGAACCCCTCCCTGTGAAGGTGAAGACCCCAGGATCCAGGCTGAGGTAGCAGCCTCGACTCCCCAGAGCTGAACAGAGGAAACCTCCACTCACCCACAGGTCAGCTTCCCATGGGAAGCCTTGGAGGAAACACTGCCACCAGGTGGGGCAAGGCCAGCACCAGGGTCCCTGAGGGAGCCTGGGCTAGGAACCAGCTCTTACTTCTGCCAGCACAGGGTGGGAGGGCTTAGCCCATTTGTGACAGGCAGAATGCATTTCACTGTCAAAAGATGGACAAATGACCGAGCTTTTATAATAAAGGGATCCTTTTTGACTTTTGACTGATACTAAGGGGAAAGCTGAGGTCTTCTGGGTCAACTGCAAGGCTGGCGTGGCTGAGACAGGCTTCCCTCACGAGGACTTTGCAAAAAGTCATCATCGTGGTTCCCATGTGAAGGTAATGAATGGAACAAATGGGTCAGATGGCCCATCTGACACACAAGACACAATCTCAGAGTTTAAACCATGAATGGGCCCAGAGCCAGCAGGGCAGCATTCCCTGTGGCCCCACAAGGCGTATCTGATACATGTCACATTTCAAATACATTTTCTAAAGACTTCAAGACAATATGGCAATCTGAAACAAAACAAAATGGCTGTTGCTTAGGGACCATTTCAAGAGAAAATTTATATATTTAAAGAAAATCAGAGATACCAAACTGCTACACCTCCTCCTATTTCTCAAAAAAAAAAAGTAAAAAAAAAAATTAAAAGGAATAATATAGTAGAGTGTACTTTTCAGGCTTCAGTGGTTTAATGAGCATGGGAAATTTCAAATTGGCATTTCCTGTCAGAGAATAAATTCTCCGGGATGAATGTCTTGTCAGTATTGGAAATAATCCCTTCACACATCCACACATCACCACGGTAAATAAATGATGGTCAATGCATTTTGTTTGACTTCACTCAATAGATGTAAGACCTCAGTGTACCTTTGAATCAACTGTTATAAGTACAGCATGGTCTTAAGGATAAATAAACCTCCTGACTTGTTCCCACAGGTTTAAAAGCTTAACAATTAGGACCCAAGCTAATGCTGGGGCTGAGACAGCTCCTGGCATCGCTGAGCCCAGGTTGAAGCAGAGGCTAAGGAGGGAGGCAGGTAGCCAACACCTCCTTCACTCAGGCAGTCACAGTGCCAATGGCCCCTTCAACCCAAGGTCAAGAGTCACCAGGCCTCCTTAATTCCATTTCATTTGACTTTACTTAAATCAAATCAAAGCAAGTGGCAGGAACCACAATACAACAGAAGACTGGCATTTCCAAGGGATAAGACCAGGGACCTTCACAATTCCCAGGCCCACAAGCACCACTATGGAACAGCTGAAAAATTTAGGTCCTGCTTTTGTGTCCTGAATGTGTGCTATGACAGGTAAAGGCGTCAGAGAGCTGGGGATGACAGCTGCTCTCCCTTAAACATCTCCCTTGCCGACTGCTTTTCAGTCTTAGCAAAACGGCAAATTACCACATGACCTGGACTTTTCATTCTCCTGTGAAACCACAAATGCTATGGCCTCACATTCAAAAGCCAGTCTACTTCACAATCTTCAGAGACAATCTCTGAAGCAATCCTGGGATAAACAGGACTCCTCAAGATTTAAGATATGAGTCAGGGGCTGGGTGTAGTGGCTCACGCCTATAATCCCAGCACTTTTGAGGCTGAGGCGGGTAGATGGCTTGAACCAAGAGTTCATGACCAGCCTGGGAAACAGGGTGAAACCCTATCTTGACAAAAAATTATCCTGGTTTGGTGGCATGCGTGTGGTCCCAGCTACTCAGGAGGCTGAGGTAGGAGGATCGCTTGAGCCTGTGAGGTCAAGGCTGCAGTGAGTCACAATCACGCCACTGCACTCCAGCCTGGGCAACAGAGTGAAACTCCGCCTCCAAAAAAAGATGTCAGCAAGGCTTGCTGGATGTCTGAAACAATCTCTGGTAGGAGATAGGAAAAAATTCTGGAAACTTGCATAACAACCAAGGCTTTAGAGCAAGTTTGTCCAATCTGTGGCCCACAGGCCGCATGTGGCCCAGGACAGCTTTGAATGTTGCCCAACACAAATTTGTAAGCTTTCTTAAAAACAGTATGAGAGTTTTTTGCAATTTTTTTAAAGCTCATTAGCTATTGTTAGTGTTAGTATATTTTATGTCTAGCCCAAGACAATTCTTCTTCCAATATGGCCCAGGGAAACCAAAAGATTGGACACCCCTGCTTTAGAGCTTTTCAACATGCACAGATCATAGTCATATATTCAATGTTTTATTCATTTACATTAATGTCTCCTGTTTGATTTAAATACTTACATCATTTTCTAAAAAATTAAACATGCTTCTTTCAGCCAACTCCTTTGACTCTTCAAATTTTTCTACCGCTTGTCTGACTTCTTCATCTGGTATTTTACCTACTCTTTTCTTTTTATAATCGTAATCCAGGCGGCGACCTTCCAGTTTTTTCAGGTGGTGCTAAAGAAAGAGAAAGGAGTCCCTCAGAGAGGCACTACATTCAAAACCCGGCACAAAAAATTACTTCTATGAGAGTGGTCATTGCCTTTTCTCGGCCTAGATTCCAGAGGGCAGGAACCCACCTTACAGTGCTGTTGGGAGCACCCCAGCACCTGATGGAGGTTCCCCTCACTTCAGGTGCTAAAAGAATATTTGTGGAATGAAGGAATTAATGGACAGATCAGTGATAGAATGAGTATCTGTATGGCACATAAAGATGCTCAGACCCATGCTCAGATATTATTTTCCAGCGTTCTTTATATGATCCCTCACTTCAGCCTTCTTAATGTCCAGGTAATTTCTAACCAGGTTAACCAAGAAAAACGAAGTAGGAACATTTATTTTGGCACTATTGTCAACTCCTGACTAAGTAGTAAGTAGACTATAAAAACACAAATTTCTACTGTCCCTTAGAATATTAATGGATCTCCATAAAGTTCCCAAACAATCATGAAATAAGTTGCATAAAATGCTGTTAATGAATACAAAGGAGAAAGATTACTCACAGACAACCTCTGAAGTGGTAAAATTTCTAAACAATATTATAACACCTTTAACAAAATATAACAGAACTGTCCACTCATGGAACAGGCTGCCTTGTGTAGCAGCAGGTTTCCCATCAGTTTGTGTCCAAGCAGAGACCCCATGTCAGAAACAATGCAGAGGGGTATAGCTATATAGGACAAGGGAGGGAGAGTTTATGGCTGTAATCCTCGGAAATCAGATACTTGACATCTAAAGTGTATGTGGAAACTGATCATCCCACTGAAGCACAGAGATAACTTGCACTATTCATTTTAGCAGGAAGCACTGATTCTAATTTCCATGACTTGGTGAAAAGAGCACACGGGACCCAAAGAGTAAGAAGCATCTCTCTCCTGCGCTCTGTGACTCTGGGCTGGTCCCTAATCCCTCTGTACCTCTACACAGACACCTGAAAGTCAGCCATGTGTCAAATAAACAGGCTCCCGACCCCTGATTTCTGAGGGACACAGGGCATAGCTGAGACTGTGAAAGGCTTCCTAAACCTTGGACTCTTCACTTTCCATCATCCACATAATTTAAGTTTAGATGTACAATTCTACATCAAATAGCAGCTGAGTAACAAGATGGCATTTAGAAAATTATTTTGTTGCATAGGGAACTGCAACATTTCAGAGTAAGCGTATTACACACATTTCACCCACTTACTACTCAGGACCACATACGTGTCTGTGGCTGGCCAGGTGAAGGAGCAGTGCTGACTTTTCATATGACCTTCCTCCATGATGACAGCACAAGAAATGAAACTTGCTAGATGTCAGCAAAGGAGGCATTTGGGGGAGATGTTTTGGCATCCCCAGAACCCAGACTATCACTTCTTCTCTAGAATCAACCATTCAAAGATAATTTATAAAAACATCTCCTATACCCCACCAACATATATACCTACTACATACCCACAAAAATTAAAATAATGTGTGAGCACAAACCACATGGCAGGCTTGTGGTTACACCAACGAACAAACCACGATGCCTCACTCCAAGGAGTGGGCCGCCCAACATGAGCAAGAAGTAAGCAAGAGTGCTCATGGTGCAGGGGGCACAGAAGGGGCACCCCATGGAGTCTAGCAGAAGAACAAACAGCTTCCCAAAGGAAAGCATATCTGGGCTGAGGAGTGAGGTGACTCGGCCAGGAGAAGGGGTGAAAGGACAAAGACCGCTCTTGACCCCTGGCGTCACATCGCACTCCCTCCTGTCCATTCTCCAGCCCACAGCTAGGGCGCCCTTCCTGATCTGCAAACTTTCCTGGCTGCCCACAGGCAGTGGAGTGAAGATGCAGCCCCTCAGCCCTTCACGGCCTGGCTTCTCCTTTGCTCTGTGGCCTTATTGCGACCCTTTCAGCCCGTGAACTTCACCCAGCCTCACTGAATTATTTCCAGCTCCCTGGTGACACTCTGCTTTGTGCTTTCTCCCTATTTGCACACCCCAGACTCCCAATCTGGAAAGGATGGGCTGAAACAGTGGTTTTTGAACATTAGCATGGCTCTGAATCACCTGGAGGACTTTATAAAACACAGACTTGCTGGGCTTCACCCCCAAGATTTCTGATTCAGGAGGTAAGGGATGGGGCCCAAGAATTTGCATTTCTCACAAGTGATGCTGATGTTGCTGGTCCAGGGACCACACTTTGAAAATCAATAGGTCTGAAGAAGGGAAAACAGGATATGCCCAAGGCCCAAATGGCCTCCAACCTGGCCCAGGCTGCCCTCAGATCATGCTGGAGGGCACCTGGAGGAACATCTTCTGTGCATATCCATAAGAGAGTGCTTGTACCTCCAGAGTAGAAATCCCTAGTGGTGCAGAAGTCTTGGGGCTGTTTTTGCACATCTACAAAAATGCCACCATGCAAGTGGTATGCAGTTACTTCCAGGTACCTGAAAGTTCCCATGCAAGCCATTTTTAACAGTTTTCCAAATGAAACATTCAATTTCCAAGTATTGATTTTCTTGAGAAGTAATGGAAAATAATGACCACCAGGGCAACACATCAAAACTTGCAACTGTGGTATGATTTTGATAATAAAAAAATCAACTACAAAGCTATACAATTACTTTATGTAATAAATAGTGCCAAAATATGGATTTTTAGCCTGGCTTTGATCTGGCTTCAACTAGATACAGAATTTCCAGCTGGAAGAATATGGCTTACATCCCGTCCCATTATCCTGCCCTATCTCCACGGTAGATAGGGCTAATGGATCCTGGCACTCCTTTCCAGTGAACCCAGGAAAATAAAACTGAGTTATTTTTACCCTACCTACAAGTATCATAAGATGATTCCCTCAATAAGTCCGTGTTGAAACGTTCTAATGATTTTAAATATAAACATCATTTTGCAACAGATATATTTATATCCTAGAAGACTTACCCCAATCTCTTTTAAATCTTTATCTTGTAGTAACTGAAGTGGATCAATAAAAGTTTGCTTTACATTAATATCAAGAGAGTCTTTCACCTCAGCCATTAGCTTCATGGATTCACCAACTTCTATCAATGCATTGCCTTGAATAGAAAACACAAATATATAAGGTTCTTCGGGAGACTACTCCAGGTTAACAGTGCTATTTATTTCATTCTTTACCAAAAGTCTGTGGATGATGGTGTAGCAAAGTCCTTGCTCCAGGGCCTCGGAATCCTGGATCAGAATAAAAAAGAGAAAGCAAGGCTTCCTATTTTCTGCGTTTTCCTCTCTATGTTCTGCACTTCACCACCACAGCAAATACTGTACAGCTGAGATGGGCAGACCGAAGTACTTACCATTGGGGCCACTAGATGGGGATAAAGATCCTTTTAAAAAAACTGGTACTTTGGGAAACTGGCACGGAGGGTTCCTTGGAAGCTCTAGAATAAAATCTCTTTGTAAACAATGAAAGGATTCACTCATGGGACCAAGTGTTAACCAATAAAGATTACAATAGAAATAAACAAATAAAACATCTCAGCTTCTAGCTGTGGGATCTTCTCAAGGCTACTCCCTGTATCCTTCTAGAAGGTTCTAAGGCTCCCTGCCCTCTCTTGATGTCAAAGAAAGCCTGCTGATGTCACATGGGACATCCTGTCAGCAGGGTGGGGTGGGGGTCTGGTGGTACACTGGGGCCCAGGCCAGCCTTCCGGCTTGGGTAGTGACAGGCAGTTTTTCCTGGATTACAGCGTGGTATCTCAGTCCAGTCAATCTGTAGTAATTTGCAAGATTATTGCAAACCAGGTGCCCTCTAGTTCTCTGTTCAGTGAGGGGTGCAGAGTCTCTGGAAAACATGCCTGGCAAACGTTGCACTAGAATCGACTATTTTTCCTATATTTGGGGTTTTCCAAACTGATCTTGTAAAAAGATGGAGATTGAGGTTTCTCAATTTCTAGGCTTGAAGAAGATCTTAAAGCCCAGCCTAAGTCTGACCTTTGAGTTGTTTCCCCCATCAGTTGAGGGCACGGACAACGTATTCACCTGTAAAACAGAGATGGCAGCCGGGCGTGGTGGCTCACACCTGTAATCCCAGCGCTTTGGGAGGCCGAGGTGGGCAGGTCATGAAGTCAGGAGTTTGAGCTCAGCCTGACTAACATGCTGAAACCCCATTTCTACTAAAAATACAGAACTTAGCCAGGTGTGGTGGTGTGCGCCTGTAATCCCAGCTACTGGGGAGGCTGAAGCAGGAAAATCACTTGATCTTGGGAGGCAGATGTTGCAGTGAGCTGAGATCGCACCACTGCACTCTAGCCTGGGCGACAGAGCGACACTCAGTAAAAAAAAACAAAACAAAATAAAAAAAACAGAAACATATAAGATAGATAGGACCTTGCAAAACAGAAGTAGGAACTGTTACTCTAAACTAAGGCTTTCCCAGGACTCCATTCAGACCCAGTGGTACCTTCATTCCTCCTTGGAAGCTAAATTCCCTTAGCTCAACTCTCCAAAGTGTGTTTCTAAACCATTCCTAAATGAAGACAAAATGTCCCTTCCTATCCTGTGGACTCTTTTCCCGCCCAAATGGTGAGAAATGGTATTGCCTGACCCCCCAAGCCAGTCCCTCTGCCACCAGTGCCAGTGCCTCACAATGTCAATGACAGAAATATTTTCATATGTTGGAGACTCCAAAGACGACACTTTGAGCAGGGGCTACCACCTCCCTAAATCTGACATTCCCTCTCCTTGTCCGAGACTGGTGCTGTCAAATTCCACACGGGTCTGGGGCTCAGCTTCCACCCACTGAGGTTTCTGCGTTGTAGGAGGTCCCAGCATGTGGCTCCCCAAAAGAAAACATCCAAAGGCACAGCCTCTTCCTTGGAACAGCAGAAGTCCATCTGTTCCTGATGCCCTGATGACATCAGTTCTCTTCCTTAACCTGAGTTCCTTTAGGTTGCTGGGCACCTGGGAAGCTACCAAACTGTCTGGCTGTCACCAAGGCCAGGTGCACAGCAGGAGCGTCCTTGGATTTCAGGGCCTGCCTGGCAGTCTCACCTGTTCCCTTCACTGATGTGCCTTCAGAGTAAGAAATAGGCCATCTGGTCCCCATTGGCCCTTGGAATGAAAATAAAATTCACACTATACTGCTCTAAGGGTGAATGTTACCCTTTGTCACTAATTAATGTTTGGATGCTTGAATTTTAAATTTTTTTTCAAAATATATTTTCTCCAATTTCCTAGAATGATTACTGTGGCCAAACATTTGATTTCTCAACTTCTATCTCCTGCCTTGTTACTACTACATGAATAGCAAATATGCCAAATTCTTTTGGAATACCTAATACATTAAATCCAATTCATCCTCAATTTAATGTATTAATTTAAATGAATCTCAATCAAAATTTAATGACTTTTTTAAATAGCAGGGACTTAAGTTTCACCTGGAAAAATAAAACCAGTAAGTGTGTCTGTGAACTTTTTACAATAAAATACCTAAATTTTTAGTAAAATATATTAAAGTATGTTTTAAAACTTCAATGCTTGAAACAACATGATGCTGAATCAAAACAGGATATAGATCAAGAAACAAAAGAGAAAGACCATAAGCTTAATGTATAAAAATTTAGTCTATAATGAAAGAATCATTTCAAAACATCAAGAGCAAGTTGAACTTTTCCATAAAGTACTGGAACAAGCTATTTATTTGTCAGAAAACAAAATGAGAACCCGATTGCACTATAGCCCCAATAAATGCGGGAGCGTGGAAATTTAAAGTTAAGAAAAGAAAATACAGGATTCAAAAACAAGAATAAGTAAACATTTATATCCTTTGCCAGGGAGTGGAATGAAAAAGATCTGCTAAACATGATTCCAAAAAGCTAGAAACCATAAAGGAAGACTAAAGAGCTTCACTAAATAAAAAATAAAAATCTCTCTCCATTGAAATGAACTTCATAAACAACGTCCAGAGGTAAATGCTTACCTGGGAAAAAATCTCGTCAACATACAAGACAGTCAATGGGCAAATATCCTGACCATTTAAAGACCTCGTGAGACAGGAGGGAAAAAAAAAATTGACCTCCTAATACAAAAGCAGGCTTAAGGACACAACACACAATTCACAAAATCAATGACAAACACACAAAAAAATTCTACCTCACATGTGATCCAAAACGGCAATGACATATCATTTTTAGACACTACATATCAAATGATCAGTTATTTAAAAGTAAACTAGAAAGATAATCCCTGGGGTCAGGAACTGTGTTGAGAAACATACCCTCACTCAATCCTGGCAACAGTGTCAAATGGGTGGAACCTTTCTGAAGGGTGAGCTGCGAATATGCTTTCAAAACCTGAAAAATGAGCATACTCTTGACTCAGCAATTTTATACTAGGCATTTTGTCTAAATTATGTCAAAGAATATAATTTTGGATATCCCAAAGATTTACCTATGGAAATGGTCATTGTAAATGCTATGTAAAATGTTTCTACATAAAGAAAAATTTATTTAGTAAATGAGATTGACTGAACAAACTATGACACATGGAATATTATGTAGCCGCTAAAAATAATATCATAGAAGATTGTTTTATGATATGAATTATTTTATGATATGGATCACGATATAGTCGGTGTTACCATAGAGTATATGTACTATAGCCTTATTGTCTTTTTTTTTTTGAGGCAGACTCCTGCTCTGTCACCAAGTGCCGGGCTGGAGTGCACTGGTGTGATCTCAGCTCACTGCAACCTCTGCCTCCTGGGTTCAAGCAATTCTCCTGCCCCAGCCTCCCAAGTAGCTGGGACTACAAGCATGTGCCACCATGGCCAGCTGATTTTTGTATTTGAGTAGAGATGGGGTTTCACCATGTTGGCCAGGATGGTCTCGATTTCCAGACCTCATTATCCACCCGCCTCAGCCTCCCAAAGTGCTGGGATTACAGGTGTGAGCCACCGCGCCCGGCCTTATTGTCATTTTTAAAAGTACGTATGAATACATGTAATAAAAATAAACAAGGCATAAAGATCCACAATAGGCTGAGTACTGTGGCTCACCCTATAATCCCAGCACTTGGGAGGCCAAGGTGGGCAGATTGCTTGAGGTCAGGAGTTCAAAACCAGCCTGGCCATCATGGCAAAACCCTGTCTCTATTAAAAATACAAAAAATTAGCCAGGCATGGTGCCTTGAGCCTGTAATCTCAGCTACTCAGAAGGCTGAGGCACAAGAGTTGTTTGAACCTGGGAGGCGAAGGTTGTAGTCAGCCAAGATCATGCCACTGTACTATGGCGTGGGAAAAGACCCGGTCTTAAAAAAAAAAAAAAGATACAAGACAGAGTTTAATTAGGCCAATCAGTGGATATGGGATTACAGGTGATGTTAGCATTTTTCTTTTTCTTTATTTTACTTACCTATCTTTTCTAAACCTCCTGCCATTTAACATGTATTACTTTGGTAATATGGAAAAATAACAAAGGTCGTTAAACTAAAGGGTTTGTGCATAACCTAAAAGCATACTGGAGTTCTCAGCTCCCCCAGGTGATTTCTGAATAACTCACCAAAGGTGGAGTCTTCCCCGAGCTCCTTCCCATATTTCAGCATACAGTCCCCCAGCAAGCCTTCCGTCTGCGGGTATCCCGTGGTCTTCACCTGCCCGCGGATCTTCGACACAGTGTTCAGCATTCCTAGCTTAGCTCTGTATGCTTAAAAACATTGTCATTTGTAATTCTTTAAAGTTACAAGATGGAGTGGCAGGTACATAGCATTTAACAAGCACAGCTGCCAAAACTGAGATCACCTTAAGCAAAATGCCAGCGACCCGAGGCCTGAAACGAACGTGTGTGAACTATTTAATTTTCCCACGTAATTTTCTAGGTTCTTTACCAAGGTGGGTGCTAAGTGCCCTGCTGCACAGCCATCATGAACCACAGAAATGATGGCGCACATTGCTGACTTCAAATAATAGTGACCCGGGATTTTCTGAGCACCACCCCTCAAGCGAGACCCTTTGGAAAGCTTGCAATTGCTAACACGTGAAGTCAGACACTGACCCTGTGTGACACCGACATGCTTTTTCTTTAAATGTAAACAAAAACAGAATTGCCGAGGAGGATGTTTCAAACAACCAACTGATCACTCTCACTCTTCCCAAGGACTGATTCGGCCTAATGGTATTCAGAATTATGGGAGGCAGCTGCTGCTGTTTAGGAGGCAGAACCATAGGAAGAGACAGAACACCCCTGCCCCTACTAGTGAACGCTAGCCTTGTGTGGCTGGTCCCAGGTGCAGCTCAGCCCCTGCTCCCTAAGGAAGTAACGGGCATCACTGTCTTACCTTCCTTTACTTCCTCTGACTCAGGTAATAAGTATTTACTCATTGCTGTATTGGGCCCTGTGCAACAACACACTTGCTTATTACTGGGACTCCAGAGACAGCCTTTGCCCTCAAGGAGTTCACAGTCTACTTCCCACTGTTGGAGGGGGATGTGGGATGTAGCAGGAATGTAGGTGAGAGCTATTAAACTGGGTAAGAGGGTTCCTAAGGCTGCCTCTTCCCTAGGAATAACTGGAGACCTCTGGCCAGTGGACACTTCTATTGTTGGCCAACACCTCCTCATCCCATTCAAGGGTCAGATGTATGAGGGTGGAGTATCTGTCTGACTTCATAGTGTATTCCAGCACCCCAAAATCCTCTAGTGCAGAGAAAGCACTCATTAAATATTTGACTGACTGACATATCAGGAAAAGAAATTGGCATGGCTCATTTCAATCACTGATGCAGCCAGGGAGAAGATATTCTTATGATTTTCAAAGCTATTATCATCAATGCAATTGTAATGAACCTGCCTGGATACATCTGATAAAATTTATATTCTTAAATTTTTACTTTCTCAATTTTCAAATGGTTAGGTTTGTGCTGATTCCTACAGCCAAGGGAATCACAGGAACTCCATGCAAATAATCTCTAAAAAGGAAAGTCGGCTTCAGAAATCTACAGAACTCAAGGCTTAGGCGCCCTCTACTGGTTCCTATAATTTACAACTTGGGAAAATATCTAAGTCCCAGGATGCTGCTTGGGGACCTAGAAACCCAGACCTTCTGTGGAGAAGCTGATGTGACACTGGACGTACACTGTCTTTCATATTCACCACACCTTTCTTCTCCAGCATTTGAGCCATAAAGAGAAAGCCCTTTCAAATCCACATATACTTCTATGTATACGGTACACAAAAGCAGAATTTTAAAAAATTATAAAGAGGAAATAAGGGAGTAAAAAAAAAATTGCCAAATGTTTAGTGGCTTTCTGAAGTAACTCATAAAAAACCTTTGCTCAGCACTGCCTTGTTGCTATGACCAGAACTCCATTCGGATGATGTCAACTGAAGTTCACAGAAATAGTTGTTCTGTTTCTCATCAGTAGGACTGACTGCAACTACCTTTGGTCACTGGAGACTCAGCTTTAAAAACTGAATTTCATTACTGGGACACAGAGGACATTGTTTCTAGATTATGTCAACTAAACACCAAGTAAACACGGGTTATTAGGGTCTGTGACAGCAAATAAACAAGAGAATATTTCAACTTTACCTGGATTTGGCTGAAGATATTCAGTGGTTTTTGAAAGAATTTCTGCAACAGCTTTATTGGTAACATCTATTTTCTTAAAAGCAAAAATTTTAAAACATTAGTAAATGACAAACTCAATACATTCACAGAACAAATAGAAGAGTAATTTTCATTAATTTAATTCTTATAACATCATTATGATGATTTTATCCAAATGAATGTTTTCAACATTTTTGGGAGAGGCAATATTTTTTCAGTTTTTGATTTTGGAACATCCCCTCCTTCCAGTGACGTTGTAGAACATTAATTTACTTTTCCTTTTAACATTAAAATGAATATTAAGGTAATATTTAGAAAATCTGCAAAAGTTATTATGCTCCATTAGATTATTAGATATATCTGGAAGTCTCTCAAAGCTAACACTAGACATGAATCAAACTCTCCTTATCTGATAGGTGAACTTGAATTTCTATACTTATATAAGGATGCCATAATAATGATTCATATTGGCAACTAGCTCAGTAATCAACAATAAAAGAATCATAATCATTAATATTATAATACAATAAACATATTCATTTGTGCTATGGTCAGAAGATGTTAACATCAAAGTTTTCCTCAAACTTTCCCTGAAAGTTAACCCTTTATGGTTAAGACTGAATCCTTCCTTGTGCAAAACCATTCCTGGACTTTCTGGTTGTTAGTTAACCAGAGAGCTAATATGGGAATAGACAATAAAATTAAAATACAAGTTGCACTAGCTATATTTATAACATCAGTAGTCCAGGAGAAAATGTAAAGAAAAATATCTTATTCATAAAAGCAATAAAATGCATTAACAAGGAATAACTATTATGAGACATTCACAACACCTATTTGAAAAACCACATTCTTAGATGGGAAAACTCAGTTTTGGAAAGATACGCATTCTCCCCAAATTAAGATGCAAAATTCATTCAAATCCCATCATAATTTCAACTTTTTTATTTTTTGTTACAGTTTGGCAAATTGATAGTAAAGTGATTTTTCATACTATATACATGATTTAAAATATCAACCTAAGAAAAAGACTATAAAATGACTAACATTTAAAGGAGAGTATTTTGAAATACTGGAGTGGGAAGAAACTTCTAACCAGGACCTGAAACTCACATGTCATAAATAAAGACCAAAATTCTGACTCCATAAAAGCTTAAAAACTGAACAGGAAAAGACACAGTACATGAAGTTTGACAACAGCAGCCAACAAAAATATATAAAGACAAAGGGTTAGTATCTATAATATTCAAAACTCCCATTTAAACAAACTAGAAAGAAGGAAAAGGCTGGGCAAGGTGGCACACACCTTAGACTGAGGTGGGTGGGTCACCTGAGGTCAGAAGTTCAAGACCAGGTTAGCCAACATAGTGAAACCCGGTCTCTACAAAAATACAAAAATTAGCCAGGCATGATGGCGGGTGACTGTAATCTCAGCTACTTGAAAGGCTGAGGTGGAAGAATTGCTTGAACCCAGGAGGCAGAGGTTGCAGTGAGCCGAGATTGTGCCACTGCATTTCAGCCTGGGCAACAGAGCAAGAGGAAAAACACAAGCTACCTACAAAGATTTGAAAAAATATTCACAACTGTAAATAAAAAGGAGGTACTTTACACTCTCCATATTGTTAAAACATTTTTAAAATCAATTATACCCAATATCAGCTATTATATGGGTATGGAGTAATGGGTCATTTCATACACAACAGGAATGCAAAAGGATACGTTTTTGGAGATCAAGGCAGAAGTTCTTATTAATAGGCATATTAATGAGCCAGCTATTATATTTCTAAGGATTTATCCTTTTAGAAACACATCAGCAAATTGCAGTGAAGGGAAAAACATGTTCATTAGGCCATTTTATGTAATATTGAAAATGGAAATCAATAGGAGACTGAATGGATAATTTATGAAACATCCAAGTAAAGGAATACTCTTTAATCTTAAGGAAAAAAAAGTAAGGAAGATCAATATTCAAAGTACATTGCTAAGGAAGAAAGCAAGCTGCAGAGCGATTTATAATGAAGACATCATTTTTGTAATTTAGAAAACTATGATCTGGCCAGGGTCACAAGTTTGCAACAAATCGATCTTGTCCACCCTGAAATGGTATTTGTTCCCCCTTAGCTAAATACATTAATTTTGGCTAAATACATTAATTTGGAGCCCCAGGAAAGTTTTAAAAGACAGTGCAGAAATGATTAAAAAAAAAAAAAAAAGGGAGTCAAACCTGTATTACTGATACTCATGTGCTGTGTGTGCAAGTGGGCATGTGTGTGTGTGTTTGGCCTAGTAACAAGTTTTGTGACTTTGAGCTCTCTTTGGTGTGTTCAGCTGTTTGCCAAGATCTTTGAAATATTTAAGAGAATCCAATAACCTAAATGTTTATGTCTTAGAGTTACAAGAAATATAAGGGCTTAGGAAAATGCTGTTACAGATTTGATGTGAAGTTGGAGGGAATCCTACACATTGCCTTGGTGATTATAGTTTGAAATGTCTAAGATAATTTGCTTAATTTTATAACTGGTGGTAAATATTTAGGATTGAATCTGTTAAGCTTATGGGTTAATTAACGCAACCTCAAATGAAAATTAACTATAAGATTATCATCCTATAGCACAAGTACTAAATTTGGAAATAAGATTCATAAGTTCAGCCTAAAGCTGAAGAAGAATGAGGATTTTAGATTTACAATGTAATAAATTAGATATTAAATAAAACAAAACTTATACAACCCTTTTGGACATGAAAAGTCACCAGAAAGCTAAGGGTCACCTCAGAATGATGACGATGATGAGAGGAATTAGAGTGGGGGCATTTTCTACTTCAGATGTTTTTATAACTTTTGAAACAAAAAAGCCCAAGAAACAAATGACCAAAAATTTGCAAGTCCTCATGGGCCCTGGCATGGACATACTGGGGCTGCCACTCACCAGCCCAAGCATCAAAGCTAGAAATAAACCCTTTACAAATTGAAGAGTAAACATGTTGGCTAATGTGGACAGTCAAGATGAGCATCAAAAAAACAACAACAACAACAACAACAACAAAACAAACAAAAACTCATGTAGCTTAACAAAATCTCCCTCCTAGAATAACCAGGGACGCGCGTGTGTGTGTGTGTGTGTGTGTGTGTGAGTTAACAAAATGCTATGCAACTATCTTGCCAAACCATTAAGAAAAACAGAGAAAATCAGAGTGGTGAAAATTATTTTTGTGAGGTCAACCTGGTATGGAGGCATCCTGGTTGGTTAAGTCTGGAATTTCTGTTTAATGCTGGCATCCTGCCCACGAGGCGTCCAAAGCCTGTGCCACTGACTCCCTTAGGCCCAGCTCCTGCTTGAGAGAGCTGCTAGCACCTCTCATTTCTGATGCTTATTTATGGTATTCTCTTTTTAAAAAATGCTATCAGTGGCCATATCCTCTTTCTCCTTCCTTAAGTAATTTGTGTTTTTTCCTTTTTCTCCCTCTTGGTCAAACTTGGTAGAGGTTTGTTGTTTTCAGGCTTTCAAAAGCTCTTGGTTTTATTGTTTCTATCTTTTTGTGGTTGTTTTCTATTTCACTAATCTGTTTTTAATTTATATTGATTTCTGCTGCCTACCTAGAGTGATTTAATTTGCTGTTGATTTCCTAGCTTCTTGGATTGCATGATTTATTCATTTTTCTCCCAACATTTATTTTCTTTAAATACATTTAAAATTTAGCCACATATCACAGGTTTTGACATACAGAATTGCCACTTGTGCCTAAATAATGTCATTTTACTTTCCATTTGCTCTTTAAAAATTATTTTTACATATTTTTAAATTTCCAAAGCTGCACCTTCCCTCACAATTTTTGCATTCTATGGTATCACTTTGGAAAATTTTACTGAGTTTTTTTCTGTAACCTAGTACAAAATTCATTACTTTATTTGTTCCAAAGGAATTTGAAAAAAAATGCACATTATCAATTTTGAGGATGCAGATATTTATATTTATTTATAATCAAAGTTATTAATCATATTCAATGCAAATCATGAGCCTATTGATTATCGTCAGTTTAATCTATTTTATGAGAGAGGTATGTGAAGTCTACTTCTATCTTTATCAACTATCCATGTATTTCTCACAGCTCCTACCTTACAAATTCAGATGCTATGTTATGTAGTGCAGAATGGTTCATAACTATTATAATTTCCTGATAGACTACACTGACTATCTTTTTATAATTAAAAAGCTTTTTTCATTTAGTGCTTCTCTTGTATCAACTTTTATTTTGATTTTACTATTCTTCCTCTATTTTTATATGGTTAACATTTATTACAGAATATATTTTCCTATTACTTTCTCATTCCTGTATCATGTTTTAGGTGGGTCTAATACTATCTAATGCATCTCTTCTGGGAGGTTTTTAAAACTTCTGGTCATGTTTCCATGCTTTTCAACGCTGTAATAAAACAGATAATAGATTTTATATTTTTTTCTGTAACTCACTGGGGTTTTGGAGAGAAAAGGAGGTAAGCAAGAAGGATCTCAATCCATCAGCTGACACTAAAACTCTTGGAAAAATGCTTTCAAATTTGACATTTCAACTGGATCGTTTTGTTAGTAACAAAGCAACACATCACAGCTTTGTATGTTAAGGGTTTTTTAAGTAATTTATAGTATGTTAACGGTGTGAACATGTTTCTATGGATTTAAGACTCAGAAATTAAGTTTTTTTTCGAAAGCAAAAACAAAATAAGCTTTTACTCCTCAAGGCATTAAGATTTCTAGACACTTAATAGCTCTCATCCAGAAAACAGAGAACTCCCTGAAAGACGAGCTGGCCAGAGCCAAGGCATCCTGATGAGATACTCTCCCAGGCTGTACCCAGCCCAGGGCTGGAATTCCTTCCCCAGCACCTGCTGACATCTCTGCTACCTGCCTTGATGTTGCACCTGAGGGTGGATGCCTTGCTTCATTTCCTCCCTCTCTCCTCTGGGAGGGTCTAATTATTAAATCAAGGCTATGTTTAAAAGGCCCAGACAATGAGGAAGGAAACAGTATCTTGTTAATGCTGGTGGTTCTAGTTCTACCTCCACATCAGTAACTCCACACAGCTGACTGGGACTCTGTTAAGAGACAGATATGATAGCATTTTTCTTTAGAGCACGTTACAATTATTTCTGTTCCAAGCCAGTCATATTTTTTCTAAGTTATTTCAAATACGTTAATGTTTGCAGTATTCTCACAACATCCATGTGAGGCAAGGAGGGCACACTTATCATCCCTGTATCAGTTCCAAAAGATAAATTAACGTATCCAAGTTCACACTGCTAGTTCTAGTGGCAGAACCAGGAGAAAAGTTATTTATTATGCAGCTCCTGCAACACATAGGAACAGAGCCTGAGTCCCCCACATGGTGACTAAATCATTATGCATTTGAAAAATCTTGTTCCAGAAATACATTTTGATTATCTAAAACATGCACTACCAATTACTTTGGCCTTGCAATTACTACCAAGATTACCCATCTTTTGCACATTCTGACTTCTGGCCACTAGAGGGAACCAGTTAGCTACATCGATCTCATTACTCCACTTGCCCAGGCTAGATGTGGCTACAGAGGGAGGATCTGATTTCGGCTGGGATGTCGGAAAGCACTGCCTTGTGGATTGCATAATCCACATCTATAGTTAAACAGCCTAGATTTCCACTCGAATATTCTTTACAATAGCAGTATATCTCATATCACAATGAAAGTCAGTTTCTAATCAATTTACATATGAAAATACTCTCTTACCCTTTCCATGTCAAGAAACTCGTCGTCTAGTTTAGTTCCTTCAGCACCACTTATTTTTTCACTAAACAGCTGCAGAAATAAACATAAATAATTGCGTTGTACAATGATTTATCACCGTTTCTGACCTAAATCATTAAAAACAAAAACAAAAAAAAACTTGGATTCAACTTGTTGGATTTTTTTGAACAAAGTCCTTTAAGAAAATTGTTGGACCCCCAGGGTGACCATATCTAAAGGCATAGGAAGACATACATTTCTCATGCAGTCAGCAGATGTTTACTATGCACCTACTATATGTAAAACACATGGCAAGTGCTGTAAGACAAAGGCAAGAGAGATACTTGTCATCAAGGAACACAGTTCAGCAGAAGAGTCAACACACAAACATTCAACTAAAAAACAAGGAAGGAACAATAAGAACCACTGAAAACTAATAGTACTAGATACAAATTATTGTAAATGCACTAAGTGGTAGACACTTCGGTGATGCACAGAGTGAGCTCTGAGAGCCCACAGCACTGGGAGTGGGTTCATGCAGGATCTGTTTTCTAGAAGATGTGGCATTTGAGCCGGCTTTTTAAGGACAGGGAACATTTTTTTTTTTTTGAGAGGGAGTTTCGCTCTTGTTACCCAGGCTGGAGTGCAATGGCGCGATCTCGGCTCACCGCAACCTCCGCCTCCTGGGTTCAGGCAATTCTCCTGCCTCAGCCTCCCGAGTAGCTGGGATTACAGACACACGCCACCATGCCCAGCTAATTTTTTGTATCTTTAGTAGAGACAGGGTTTCACCATGTTGACCAGGATGGTCTCGATCTCTTGACCTCGTGATCCACCCGCCTCAGCCTCCCAAAGTGCTGGGATTACAGGCTTGAGCCACCGCGCCCGGCTAAGGACAGGGAACATTTCATCGGGCAGCACTGAAGGCAAGGCCTTCTGGGATGAGGGACCATGAAGAAAAAGAGCCAGAGGCAGGAATGGATAGGACAGGTTTCCTCAGCCTCAGTTCTACTGATATTTATAGCAGATAATTCTCTGTTGTGGGGGCTGTCCTGTGCACTGCAAGATGTTTAGCAGCACCCCCGGTCTCTACTTGCTAAAGGCTAGTACTGCATGCATGGACACACACACACACACACACACACACACACCCCACACACAGTTGTAACAACCAAAAATGTTGCCCAAGAGCTGAGGACAATTTGTATATGGCCAATGTGTTCAAAAGACAGCAATAAATTGTGTTTAACTGTGAAAACTAGTGCAAGGGAGAATGGAGGAAAATAAAATCTGAAAGTCAGGCAACGCCCAGAGCACAGATTCTCAAATGCCAAGCTAAAGGGTATGAGTGAGAGATCCCTAAAGAGTCTTCATCAAACACAGTTAGAGAAACCCTTTAGAAAAGCAAGTCTGGCACCAGTTCAGTTGGATTAAACAACGAGGAAGACAAATGGGAAGAAGAAAATATGTTCAGTCATTTTCTTTAGCAAAATACATTAACATCTGTTTATGCCTTTAAAATAGTACTATGAATATACAAATCCTTAGTAAGGGAAGTGCCATCAATTAATGGTGAAAAGACTGCAGGTTGTTTTAAACCCAAGTGTAGTAACTACTACTATTACACATGCAGTATTACAATTTAATAGGAAGAATCTAAGTGAAGACAGTATTTAACTTAAATTTGAAGTGTGAGAAGGGATTTCTTGAAGAAAACAGATATAGAAGACTATTAAATGGCCAGGGTTCTCCATCCTCCTTGTCCTGAGTCTCTGCAGTTCCTCCCAGCTAGAGCTGGAGTCTATCTCCCTAACCAGTGAATCTGGGCTGGGCTCGTGACTTGTTTTGACCACACAGAAACAAGCCTTGCTAGACAATAATAGATCTTGTGTGCTTCCACCCACTCTCTTTAAACACCGTTGCTACCCTGTGAATAAGCCCAGACTAATTTACTGGAGAGAAACAAGCAGCCCAGACACCCAGCAAGGAGACAACCAGTCCATCCTCAGAATCAGAGCCACCCGGCTGAGACCAGCCCCACCTGTTGAGGCATGGAAACAGGAGTCCAATAAACAGTGTTGCTTTAAACCACTGAATTTTGGGGTGGTTTGCCACATAACAGAAGTTATCTGGTACACTAGACAAGAATCCTTACTTTACAGGCTGAGTACAAAAGTCAGAACTATCCTAATGTCTTGATACAAGGCATAACTTTCAATAGGAAAAATCAAAAATCTCATTTCCACACACCAAGCAGTGTTGTAACAGATGTATCCATCAGTTAGCTCTCCTAAACATTTTCGTTGTTGTTCAGTAGTGACATCATTGAACATATTGATTCTCAACTTTGAAGATAATAGTCTGAGAATCTAAGGAAAGTTACACAATCTCTCCTGGGGTGGGGAGTGGGGCCTCCACATTTTGTTGCCATGGTAGATTGCAAAAGTGTCCACAGGTTTTGCAGCTCCTCCTGTTAAGAAGTTAAATCTATTTTTCCACCCTTCGACTTGCTTGGGCAGATGGAAGAGTGTAAACCACACTGTATAGCTATAAAGTTCAAATCAGTACCTACCAAGAGGCTCTACAGATACTTCTGCTCCCTCTCTGGAGTCTGCTGTCACCATCTCCACCTGACTAAGTCTGGGCTGCCTTGTTGGAGAATGAAAGACCACGTGGATCAGAGATCAGCCATCTCACCTGAGCAACCTTGGACCATCAAGCCCTCAGCTCACCTGGCAGCTGACCAGCAACAGGTGAGTGAGCCCAGCATGGATCAGCCATACCAGCCCACCCACTCAGTGCCCCCAGCCCAAATTGCTGACCCACAGGATCATAAACTAAATGAACATTTTTTGTCTTAAGTCGCTGTGTTTTGAAATAGCGCGTTATACAGCAAAAGCTGACTGATACAGTGGCCTGTCATTTCCTATAACTGCTGAAACCACAGAAGACCACATGTAGATTCACATTTTAAAATAACCATTTGAAAATCCCTTTGGCTTGAAGAGTTGGACCTGAAATCTCTTTAATTCGAACCAGTTCTCACTTGTTCAGGTTTTACTTGTTCTATTTTCAGAAAGCAAAATGTCTAATAGAAGGAGTAATGTTTCTACTTTCAAGAACAGAAACTAGTTACATGAATATATCTTGTTTGAAAAGACAACATACGGGATCATTTTCAACAGGAGTCACAGGTAAGAGTCATGATCATTCCTTTCTGCTGTTCTTGAATTTCCCAGTGATGTTTAGCTGTTTGATACCGTAAGTATAAATACAGATATAGCATTAGCTGTTTAAGCCACTCAATTGTATTTCAGAGGTCAATGAACAAATACTGTTTGTTGAGCATCTACTATGTGTAGGGACATGACAGGTACTTTTGATAGAAAGATAAAAAGATAGACACGATTCCTACAGGGCACCTGGCCTCATTCCAGGGTTACAGGGTTATTTAGGTGCTGGAAGCTAAATATAAATACTCAAGCTTCTACTTCTGGTGAAAATGACTATTTAAATTCAACTCTGATGCACTCCCCATGCTCTGAACACATAGTAAGGATAGATTAAGTACCAAAGTATGCACTCCCTATGCTGTGAATACATAGCAAGGATAGATTAAATATCAAAAAAAGAAAACCAGAAAGATAAGCAATGCTGAAAAACAAAATAAACATTTTTGTGAACGTGAAAATGAACAGAAACACACTGCGATGAACAAGGTTGAAGCCTCGGGCCTGCTGGGCTTCTTGCTCGCACATAGGCTGTAAGAGCCAGCAGTCTGCTTCCTGCTGAGTACAGAGGGATCTAAAAGCGCTCCATGAGACCAGAGTCTGTGTTCAAGTTCTGCTTACAGCTGGGGTGGAAAAGCAAATGAGGCTGGAAAAAACATATTCAGATGCAAACCCCTGTCTGATGCTACCACATGTGGCAATCCGCAGGCCCAAGGAGACTGAAGAACAAAGAATCAGTCAAATTATACTCCCTCCCCCAAGCCCCAGCTCTGTGGCTGGATCCAGATATCCCCAATATCACCACAGAACAGAAACCATGTTTCTGTACTGGGGCCTTGGGAAGCTGAGTGGAAGAAGCCACAATCACTAGACAGATGTGAGCACAAAAGAGGTTAAAAGAGAAGTTAAAAGTGACAAAAAGACACTCCCCACAAAATTAAACTTCATCCTAGATCTAAATTCTAAGGCACATGAATAAAATATAACACCAAGAAAGACAGTCAACAAAATTATGTAACATGAATTCACTTCTAGTGAAAATAATTTTATGAAACAATATAATACTTTCTAATGTGTGTTTAAGATATTTTTAAAATGATAAAGGAATAACTTCTATTAATGAAGAGCAAGCAATTATACAAAAGAACAAAAATGTTAAAGACAGATATAAAACCTTAGAAACAAAAAGTATTATACAGTCATAAAAATGAAAAACCCAACAGATGTGACAAACTCCAGCCTGGGCCCAATCAAGAGAGAACTCGTAAGCTAGAAAATATTAATAAAATAAAATATCAATTAATCAATAAGAAGGATAAGTGAGAGATTCCAAGATATATCCAACAGGAACTCCAGAAAAAAGGACAGAATACAGGAGAATCAACACTTAAGAGTAAAATGGCTCTTTTCTCTCCTGTAATTGAAGGAAGATAGGAGTCTACAGCTTGGAAGTACACTCAAGTACCATGCAAGATGAGTATTAACTCACACCTAGATACAGCAAAACCTTAAGAATAAACAATCCTAATCCTAAAACTATCACAGGGGAAAAAAACATCCAAAGTGATAATAAGATTGATAGCAGATTTCTCTTCTACAACAGCAGATGCCAGAGAACAACGAAGGAATGGCTTCAAAGTGCTAAGGAGAAATTGGCTGAGTGCGGTGGTTTATGCCTGTAATCCCAGCATTTTGGGAGGCCAAGGTGGATGGATCACCTTGAGGTCAGGCGTTTGAGACCAGCCTGGCCAACATGGCAAAACCTTGTCTCTACTAAAATACAAAAATTAGTCGTGTGTGGTGGCACAATAAAAACCTAGAATTTTCTTGTCTCCTTAAACT